GCTCGATTTTCAAAGTGACGAAAGCGGACGTGCTGGCCTGAGGGGACTGTACATTGAGTTATATCTTTTTGCGGGTTGGAAACTGTGCAAGCCACATTCACGAACGAACATTTGGAACTGAGACAGTCTTTAAAGAGGCTCTGCACGATCTCTACATTTATCAACTCCGATATCCATTCCGGCGACTCCGGAAATCTTCGAGACATTAAACACTGAGTGAGAGCCGCGAATCTTGTTCCACACGTGTACGCTCTTCCACTCTCCGCTGCAGAGCAAACGCAGTTTTGTTATCTATACTTTCTGGGCAGCATGTGCACAGCCGAGTGCCAAGCGCCGTTCGCGTTATTAGATTTGTGAAGTGAGTAGAAAAGATGGATACCCCGGCCGCAGCGTGAGCGGCGGCGACTGCGGAAATGGGGCACTTCCGGCGCGGTTGTTTCAAAGTTCCGGTCACCACTTCCGAGCTCTCGGCGGGCGGTCGGCGCGCCGGAAGCGAACCGACCAGGCTGCGACGGAAGCCCGGCATGTGTACGACCGACGATTCAGGCTTAATCCCGCGTTGCTCATTAAGCGCCTGATTTCTCCGGCTGTCCATGTCTGGACTCGCCGGCGATCTGTCTTGCAGTCGCGTGTTTATTACACACACGCGCGCCTCTGACGTCACGCCGATGCGGTGGCGCTGCTGTCGGCACAGCGCGTGCGCACACGATTCTCCTCACGCCAGTCGCGTTTCTGCGCACGCGCACTGTCCATGCCTGGTATGTGCAAACGCGGGCTCGTTTGTAAGCAGTGCGTTGGTCTATATATCCTAGTCAGATGGACACGACACCTTTTGTCCCACAATATATCATTTTCAAAAGCGAGCGTCATGTGGCAGTTGTTGAGCCTGGTATCCGAGACCTCTGTAGATTGATCAGGTACAAATGAAAAAATGCAAAACGTTCTTTTTTTTTTTTTCGTAAAGCATTTGAGAAAGCCATTTGTTGCAATCTACGGATGGAGCTCGGCGATGACGAGGCTTAACGTATGTTTAGACCAGAAACAGCCGTCTGCGCTACGGCAACTGAGCATTGCGTTCCACCATGCGCAGTGCGACAGCACAGATGTTTTTTTGTTGTTGTTTTTTAGACCTAAACATATGTTCGGTCTCGTCTTTCGCGGAGCTCCACGCGTAGACTGGGACGATGGGCTCCATCGAGTGTTTTGCTGGAACGTAGACACTCCAGAGTTCTGGTAGTGCGCACTGGGCATCTAACTGACACGACGGGCGCGTCAGCATTTCGTGGGGGTTCGGATCCGGTCACAAGTGTTCTTGCTCAAGTAATGGCGACCGCCGTCGTTGCATGATGGACTTGGCCGGCTTTGTTTCTTCCTGGTGAAGCGAATCATGTGCGGACCAGTTACGAATAATGTCAACCCGCCATTGTAGAAAGAACACACTGAACAAATTGGTACCACGGAGGCGTATTTGCAGAAGAGGTATTGGCGCCCATGAGCTGGCGGGAAAACGGCATACTTGCAAATCCTCAGATTGGAACAAAAAAAAACAAAAACAGAGAGGCAACATAAATAAAGATTAGAAAGGAAGTATTCCCGTTTCTGAATAATTGGTTTCAAGCGCAGTGGCAATAGGAGTGTCATGTCGCTTGTCTTTTTTTTTTTTTTATTGACTTTGTTTTTTGTGGTTGCAACTTACAAGTATATACTGCACGGCGGAAACCGGAGTTTGTGTCTATGGCCTATGGTTAAGCCTATCAATACTCTCACGAATGGAGACTAGAACTATGTTACAAAGAGAAAATAAATGTGCACTTATAACTACAAATAGACAAAAGAAAATTTGTCGCTAGAGAAAACAAAACAATTCTAAATCGATAATTGCACCATTGAAAGCAAAGGTTATAAGTACAGTTATTTTGCCAAAAAAGACATAAAGAAGTTGTATCCACGATGTTATTAGACAGCTTAATGTAACAAAGCATAGGAACAATTACATTTCCAGATATTCGTAAGGCATTTGATAAAACGAGTTGTGCTTAATATATTTCCTTCGCGACGCATTAACATACTCTAAGATATGTCTAGACTTAAAAAGGCGGTGCAAAGATATTCATTCGGAATGTTCTTCACTTCACACGAGCTTACTGACACTAGTGGGACTGAAGGATGCTCGCAGGCAACGCCACTGGCCAAGAAACTCCTTTGTTACGGTGTAATGTCAAGGACAAAAGCGATCATTTTCATTCAATCTCTCCTTCGCAAAATTTGATGACGTAACATGGGGATTGAAGTACACCCAAATGACGATATTTGAATGCGATTCATAGATTGGACCCGAGCATTGCTTGAGCACTCGATTTAGGTTCCTGATAATTACTAGCTCGAGAAGCATTCGGGTAGTGGCCCGTGTCCAATCGCTGCAACGACGACAGTAGCCGAGCTATAACAATGTCTGGAACTCAGCGCGTGTCCTGTACTTTGCTAACCCCAGCGCGCGGCTATGATCAACATTGGCGGATCGGCTCCAGATCACGTGGCCGCTTGTTTTGGCTGCGAGTTGAGGGGGTGAACGCTGCTCGTTTTTCTTTAATTTTTTTCTGGGACTCCTATTGAGTGGGGTGAAAAACGAACGCGTGTTTCATAGGTCATTAACGTCAAAGATCCGTTCTAAGCGGTATTCGCGCAAAGTAGAAAAAATGGTTGCATCGCCCCTTTAAAGGGCTATTGACAAACCTAAGGTCGATATTTTCTTAATTTTTTTCAAACGCTTCGGAAACCCATGGTCAAACACCAATGAAAGAAATGATCGCGAAGGGAAAAAATCTGGAGCACGAAAGAGCCCCTTAAAGTTTGTGTCCTCCTCCCCCATTTTGAGCTCCTCCTCGCTCCTTTATTGGTGACGTATTTGGCAAAGGCACTTTTGAAAACTTAAGAGGCGTCGCTAGTTGCATGTCTTTAGTAATTATTATTGTCATTAATAAAATGCCTCATTTTTTTTTACAACGACTGTAAAGGCAGTACAGTGCTTTCTTCGAAAAATAAAAATCTGAGCCCGGAAGGGTTAATGACGAAACACCGGCCGTCTTCCTAGCTTTTTCTTTCTGCTATCAATATGGTGGCACCCGTCGGCTCGGGTGAGGGCGTTGTCGTCACCGTAACATTCGTGTTTAGAATGTCGCGTGCCAGGCTATCTCCTTGAATTGGTAGCCACGCTTAATACGAAGCACAGATTTCAGGGTGATGTTTCGTAACGTAACGTAACGTAACGTAACGTAACGTAAAGTAAATGCTCGTTCACACAGACCCGTTTTCTTACGTTACGTTACGAAAAGTCACCGGGAAATCTGTGCTTCGTATTAAGCGTGGCTAACAATTGAATGCGATAGCCTGGCACGCGACAATAGAGACACGAATGTTTCGGTGACGACGAGCTAGGACGGTGGGTTACCGTGGCAACCAAGGACACAAGGCACGTCGTAACGTAACGTAAGGAGTTGAGCTCGGTTCAACTTTTCACACAGCACCATTTTCTTAGGTTACCTCTAAGTCACCGTATACCATTCGTGTCTCGAATGTTGCGTGCCAGGCTATCTCCTTGAATAGGGAGTATTCACCGGCGGCCATAGCTGTGTGCGCGAATGCTGAGCGCGTGCTGATGGCGAGCTTCCACAGTTCTTTTGCAACGTGCATTCCGAACCGTCAAGAGTGCCGGTCTTAGCAGCCTATTGATGTGAGCTCGTTCTGAGCATGCGCTCTAAGCAGCACCCACAGATATGGCGTCCAGTGAATGCTCCCTATTGGTAGCCACGCTTAATACGAAGCACAGATTTCCCGGTGACTTTTCGTAACGTAACGTAAGAAAATGTGTTTGTGTGAACGAGCCTTAAGAAAACAGGTCTGTGTGAACCAGCCTTAAGAGTGAAGAAAGTATAACACTCCTAAGCAAATATGAACTGAAAAGTGACGCGTCGTCTGCATGCAAAGAAAAGTCTCGTGAAATTCTGTCACCGCTCGCCGTATGGCACGTGCGCGTACCCATAAACGATGAGAAAGAAAGAGAAAAAGTTAAACGACACCACCTTTTTGAAGTCATCTAAAAATGTGAGGAGTGCACCATCTCGCTAACTATGTACGTCATAGATTCGGGCAAACGTATAAAATCAAACATTATAAAAAAAAAACATTTTGTTTTTTGCAAGCACGCAGTAGTTTAGTTTGGTATTCTTAAAACGATTCCCAGGATTTATTTTCAGTCGTCTGCAATATTAAAAGAAAGTCTCGATGCTGTTTCTTTAGTAGTGTTGTAAAAAAAGTGTTGGGCAAAATACTGAGACGGAGCTATTGCTATTTGAGGGTTCCAGCGCAGTGATGATCTAAGATCTAATAGGCGTCCTGAAATCGTGATATTTTGTGTGAGATCTACCGGCACGACTCTGCACATCACGACCTGATTGTCTACGTTGTGATTCAATGAGCCCCGAATTTCACCCTTATTACCCACATTTGACTGCAGGCACACAAAAAAATATTTCTCCTTCAAAAATTAAGGCGACAACTTAAAATTATGCTTTATATATCCGAGAGATGTATTTCGCTTTTGTTGTAATATAGTCAACGTAATTATTTTACCTTAAATCAGACATAAAAGAAATAGATCCTAGATGTTTAAACTCTGTTGAACGTTCGGCTGCGTATGGTGTGTGTACAACGGGGAAGGAATGTTAATTTGCCTAATGAACCTTATGTCAATACGTTTAAATGTATTAAAAGGCGTGCGCCAGTTGGAGACACCACGCATCAATCTTATCCAACTCATTGGAGAGCAAGTACTCTGGAGCAAAACTAGAGATGATTGCACAGTGCAAGTTTTGTAGCCTAGGTGAAAGATCTCAGTTTTGTTACGTCACAAACACATATCGTTGTCTTGGTATATAAAACTTTCCCGAGGCGACTCGTTAACTTCACGTGGCTAACTTTTTCTTTCGGTTTTCTGAGCGCAGTCGGTGATCCAGATGGCCGGCTTTCGGAGCCTGGGCGACGAGGAGGAAGTGGAGTTCGAGTGCAAGACTTCAGACAAGGGGGTGGAGGCGACCTCCGTCTCGGGTCCCGAAAACTCCGACTGCAAGGGCTCACACCGGAGACCCATGTCCAAGAAGCGCTTCCGCAAAATCAGGTAAATCCGCCTCTGATTGTCTTAACCCTTGCAACGGCCATAACAGTGATGCTAGCCGATCGACTGATGTCGGTCGGCAGAAAAGGTTTGACTTCCAGACAAAAGAAAAGTTCCAATGATGGTCTTGGCTCTTATTTTGGGGCTCTTGACCGTCGCCAACGGAACAAATAAACACATTTGTGAGTACGCGGCGCAACAGCCTATTGCTCGGGTTGACAAAAATATTATTTTGTATTGTCGTCGAACAACATTCAGGTAGTTGTCACGTTAAGAATCCTTTTGATTGTTTATTTTGTTTCTTTTCACGGGATTTTTTAACCTCCTTTGCGGTTCTTCCCTTGCATTAAAAGATTATCAGTACGCGCGGGGCTCTCCATCTTCCCGTTCAATGCAACGCACAAAACAGTAACAGCTTAGCAAACCATGTCCCGATATGTTTACCGCAATGTTTCTCGGTTGAACTGTAGTCTGTTGCCATATGAGAATAACAGGAGAGACTTCATACCCGAATTTTCGGCGAGATCGAAGAACGCGTCATTTTTCGAAATCATAAAAAGAGAAGAGCATCCATCATCTCTTATATTTTTCAATATAATTTCCTCATACTAGTAAAATTGGAGTTTTAATGGAGCTATCGTTCTTCTGCAGTTCTTATTCTGGAAAAAAATTATATGGTAACTCAAAATGGCAGGACAGCAGGGAGCGCCTTCAGCTGTCCTGCCACCACCGCGAGATTTTACCTTGAATAACAACTCGGCTTCACGTACGCTTCGAGTGTGCACAAGAAGCCAAAGCACGACGGAAGGTAAAGGGCACGTACCAGAGGCCATGCATCCGGAAGATTCGCCCAGCCGTTTTCATTCTGTAAGTGACTAAAAGGGCAGGCTAAGAACGGTAGAGAGGTCTTTCAGTTGCTCCGCCTCCCGTGCGAACTTCCAACCTTCAACCCCCTTTTGGCGTCTTGTCAGCTTTGAGCGATCATGCGTAGCCAAGGTACGACAGAAGGCATCGTTACTGGATTGCCTCAGTTAAGGAACTGCATATATACGCTGTTTCCACCATGACGATGACGATCCGGTTGACGTCACCAGCACTCTCATAGCTCCAAGCGTGACATGATATTCAAAATCAACTCTAAGGAGAGAAAAAAAAAGCGGAAAAGTGGACTCATAGAGGCGGGCGTACTTCGGGCTATCACTTGCTTGGTCTTTTGTTTGCATTTGGACATTGCGTTTTGCTCGTGACTTGTTTCCTGTTCTGCGTTCGGTCGCTTGGCTACAAGTCTGCAATCGGTTCAGCTTTGCCCTGGAGTCTGACTATATATAGTTTCGTGGATCGTTCCGGTGACAAACTTTTTTTCCATGGTTGAAACATGTATTTGATTCTGAGTACAAGATTGTGAGAAATGTAATTAAGATAAATAGCAAATACTCTACACGAAATGTATTTGCAAAATACGAAAATACTACCAAAAGTACTTGAAGTACGGTACCTTCTGTAGAGTATTTAAGATAGGCCCAAGTGTGAAAGGAACAGCGGTTTTAACGATACTTGAATAAGTTGAAAGCCATCGACACGAAAAATCGAACTTGCCGTAGAAAATGATATACTGCATACGCGCTTTTCTCTCTCCTCTTCCCTTTCCTTTACTTTTCACTAAATGTAACTTACAATATTTTGTCTGTAACTAAGTCGTAAATTATACAGGGTGCTTTATTTTTTAAGATTTACAGATTTGTTTAAAAAAAAGTGACATCTGCACTTATGCAATTTGTGCAGGTGAGTTATACAGCCAAAGGGACATAGTATATAAGGCTAATCGAAACGATCAATCAGCCAGTTAAGTAAGTTTGTTAATTGACTTTTAAATTAGTGAGAATGGGCACATGGGTTTCAGTTAGAAACATAATGAGCGTCATCCAAAACCACGATACCAATAATTTGTATAAGTGCTTTGAGCGCGTGAAAAGCCTCAGTAGTGCCCTGAAGGTACCTACCACTCGTGCAACAGGTACGAAGCTGGGGCTATCATGGGAGACGGAAAAATTGTGCGGGCGCCTTATCGCACCGGTAGCCTTGCTCCTGCTGCACGATTAATACCTTTAGCGCACTCCTCCGCCTCTCACGCGCGCAAAGCCTTTCTAAAACTTACACATTTAGTGGTTTTCGATAACGCTCAGCAAGTTTCTAATTGAAACCATCTGTCTATTGTCACTAATTAAAGAGTTAATTTGCAAGTTTTATATAATTAGCCGACTGATCATGAAGATTAGCCGTCTATACTATGTCACAGTGGCCTGAATACTCAGCTTCACAAACAGTAAAAATGTAGCATTCACGTTTTTTTGTTTTTTTGTGTGTGCTTTTTTAACAAATTTGTAAAACTTAGAAATACCTGCATACCTTTTCCATTGCAACTAAACGATGAGGAATCACATTAGAAGCAAAAGTGAGCGTTCTCGTTGAAATTCCTAAAATCGTAAAAACCCTTTACCGTGTCAATTTTGCCTATCTGCAGGAAAAACGTGCTCACTCGGTGTATATAACAAATGACTACCCGTGCACCTCGAAGGCCATCATCACGTGGCTATAACAATCCCTCCCCCCCCCCCCCCCCCCCAATATGCAGAAAGTTTATTTCAATTCAAACGGTCCTTTTTTTCTTTTCTTTTTTTAAGCTGGTCAAAGGAATTGTGCGGCGTCTTTACCTGGTATTTATCAGTCTCAGCAGACATTGAGTGAGAGAAATCTCGTAATGGTAAGCAGAATAATTAATTCATGTTTGTTCATTAACATTTTAATATGGCCTATTACTTCTAGGGGTCAGGTTGCAGTCGCAGTATATATCGCGATTACTATTAGACGCCTGATTATTTGAAAGAATGTTTTGAAATGTCGTAATTTCTTTAGATATTAATTTTTCATCTTTGCAGTTTTTTTTTTTTTTTTTTAGCCCGATTTAAAATTACTGTGCGCCAAAGGGTGACTTTAAGCCCTGCGCACGATAACGCTTGGAAGAGTGAAGTAGTCGTTTCAATCACGTCGTCGCTATCTGCACTATTCCTCGGCAGCGTCTTCACGGTGGGATCGCCGACGACACAACTCACGGCGTGACTGAAACGACTACGCCACTCTTCTAGCTGTCCATGTGGGCGGGGCTTGCGACATTCGTTTTGCGGGCAATTTCTGAATAGCAAAAAGACGTGAACAATGAAAAAATTTAAATCTCATAAACTTTTAAATTTTTGCAAATTTCTTTACTAGGTTTTACTTCGAATAGTGGTTATTGTCGATACTTCAGTCACTACATAACCCCTAAAACCAATGGCAAAAAGATAATGAACAGATTCAGAACAGGTTCATTAGGCAACTTACCATTGAGATTAATCCCTCGTCTGATGTTGCCGAGCCTGATGAAAACATGGCGCACACCGATACTTGTCTAACTCTCACCCCATTTTTTTTTATTTGCTTAAATTAAAATGAATCTTCCTGTATAAAAGGGCCACTGGAAACAGAAACTTCAGCAACCCTCAAAGAGTCCTTTGGAAAAAAAACCAAAGCAAAAAATCTGATTTTTTTTTTTTTTTTATTAGGACGTTTTTAATTTTTTGTATAGGTTAGTCTATTCCTCTTTTCGAGCTTACTATAATAACACAACCCGCCCTCCATCTTTACAACCGGCCGTCTTTATTCCAACGATGTATAAAGAAACAAGACAAAAAAAGAAACAAGCTTCGAGTACACTGACCCGCACTGCTAACACGTGCACTGCCCGGCTATTTTAAGACCGCCGCTTACGACGCGTTCGGCAACAATTGTATCTTTGAAGAGCAGAAACAATCGGGAGCTATGCGGCAACGTGGGGAGTCTCGCCCTAAATAATCACCAAGTCCCGCCCTTCCATCCGTTTGCTCTGAGGTTTGCGAGGGAAAAACAAGTTATGAACGGCGGTAAGAAATGTGTCTCCTGTCATCTCAGCTTCTCCGCATCGAAACAAAAAGAGGCAGAGAAATTCGATGTGCCTCGCTCGTTGGTGCTAAACCCTCGACCGCCGGATAATATCGTGGGCTGCAAAACGACTTTCTGAGAAGAGCCGTTCGTGTTTGTGTATTGACCGGCTTAAATAGACTACACGTTAGGGAGGCTTCATACAGTGCCCGAATATATTGCTAGCGGCTTGGGTTCCATGCAATTATTTCATAACTTAACGATATCTAGCCTAACTGAGGTTTGAAGTTTCTGAAAACGTTCAGTGAGGAAACGAAATTTGAGGAGTTCGGGAATTCATGGGAAATAATGGCGTCTACCGCAAATAAACGACGCAATTTTCTCAAACGTTCGCACTGTCCAGGAGAACTGATCTGTTGTAGCCTGCGAAATGTTAGCAAGACCAAATAAACATTTTCATTGCAGTACAAGAAAAGCAACAACGAAATACTTCACTTAATTATGATGATGAAAAGCACGGTAAGGCAGCACGCGCAGGCTAAATCTAGCAGTAGCTGTAAATTCTAGAGAAATGACCTAAGATCTGCGACTGGCCTTCTGTAAGAAGTTCGTGTGCCATGACTCAAGAAACTAAAGTATGATTCCAAACGGAATGTTTCAAATGTGAGCGAACCATCTAATAAGACGCCAGCGTCAATTGAGCGTTGACAATATGGAACACCTACCCGTCTCTCTTGTCTCCCTACTCATTAGAATCAAGAAAAACTCTACACAAGCGGCGGGCGCAAGTCATGTCGGAACCGAAGACTTAAAAAGCAACTCTGGTGGAGGAAATGCGGGCGTAGACTGAACAGAAAACGATTCTAAATAAGAGTACGAGAAACCTATAAGGTCCAAGAGTATGTCATAAATGTACAGCAATGATAAACTTCACATAAAAGAAAAACTTTAAACAAAATGTGCAAATAGTATATTCAAGTATGATCAGCGAGCGTGCAGTTCAGTATCGCGCGGCGGTGCTTGCGTCTGAACCCTCTGAACTCGCGGAGCATACGTTTCCCTCACCACGCAGGCCGAGAGAGGGCGATTCCCACGAAAGCAACATTTCTAGGCGGTCTCCGGTGGCGGGTGCAAATCGACCAGAGACGGAGAGGCCGCGTAGCCAAACAGAAACCGCTCTCGTCCGCTGTCTGGACTGCAGTGATAAGTTTCTCGCGCTGGCCTGTTCCGTGGTGCTCGGCGTCGCGGGACCTCGGCGATGCACCACGGGGTGCGGCGTCCGTCCAGTCCGTCTAAGTAACGAGTCGCAGGGGGTGCTCCGGTCGCCTTTGATGGCGCTGTGGGGACGCGCTCTCCCGCTGTTACCGCCGCCACTGCTTCGCGCATGTATCTGTGTGTATGTTTGTGTGTGCGCGCGCGCGTGTGTCTGTGTGTGTGCGGGCGTGTGCGTGTGTGTGTGTTTGTGTATAAAAGAGAGAGAAAGAGAGAGTCAGTGAGTGTGCGTTTGTGTGCGTGATCGTGCATGTCGAGAGAAAGAATTACAATCCCCCGAGATGGAGACGCATGGCGCGACGAAAATCGGGCTCCGCGGACGCGCGGCTCTATCCGGCCGTACACGCTTTCCCCCCACTACTCTTTTCAGCGGAGAGGACATTGGTTGTTTTCAAGGCGAGACTAACGGGCTATAAATCCCGGGGTCCCAAATGGCCACTCCAGGGGAGATGGTGTCACCACGAAGCAAAGTTCTCTTCAGTGGGGAACTCGATTTTTCGTTCTGCGTGTAACCGAAGCTAAGTGTGCAGTTCTTGGATAGAGCTTGAAAGTGGTGCGTGTTGGTGCCGTCTCGAGACAATGTTCACTACTTTGAAACATAGTCATAAGCTTTGACGAAGGAATACTTTGGGACGCGAAAAGCGGGGAGCTTTGTTCGTTAAAATAGCTGCGGTCACTTTGTCTACGCTGTCCTTTCTTCCGTCCTTTCAGGCACTGGTTCACGCGCTGAAAAGTTTAGACATTGGTTGGTAATGTCCTGGTATGTACGACTACGTTAGAAGCGATTTGGTGTCTATTTATTTAATTTTTCTGGTGCCCCTAAACAGCCCGCTGGCCTATGGAAGGGCGCACCATATGTCAGATAACATGTCGCATTGATGCAAGATGCTTTTAGGAGAAACAATACAGTCACTGTAAATAAAGAAAAGATTGGACACAACAGGGTCGAAGAAAAAAAGGAAACATTACTCGTAGCGTTTGCGAAGTACGTTTAAAAATATGCAGTCAGTGTAAAAGAGAAATGCGCACACCGTAGTCAATAAAACAGTGCTCGCAGTTACATACGTTCGGGTATAAACTGTTGAGACACAAATGTTGAGGGAAGAAATGTTCGCAGAGTCTTTCTACGTAACAGTTCTGGCTGAGAAAAAAAATAATGACATTAATTCAAAACGTTTTAGCCGAAATCGAATGGTAAAATTTCCCCGCAAACATATATCTACCTTAGGCTTGTTCATCACAGCCGACGTATTAAAAGCACACTGGATACGTTCCATTGGTGTCATGCTTTTTGACTCTTTTTTTATATACGATGATAGCGAAGGGTCCTGTTAGGTACAGCATTGAAACAGAACGCTATCAGCGCATCTCGCCAGCTGTTTTAACGTCCTTATATGTTTTCAATAAGAAAAAAAAAAACGTACTTATATGTTTTTTCTTCACTGCTTATACTACGTTTCACCTGAATTCGACAGGCAGTCGACGCTACAACCTGATGGGACCGATTTCACGGAGTCAAAAGCGCGCAATCACGATGTTCGTCGTGTGTCTGTACGCGTTCTATCATCGCTGAATCAATCATAAGCATAAAAGGATCAGTGACATGGGCTTTGGACGCTGCTTTATTGGTACCATTAGCTCGTAGCGCCTGCTGCGTCTGGACTTAAGCTGAACCGAACTACAGAAGCGTTCATAGTGGCAGATTAGGACGAATAAAAAATAGTGTGCTTTATTGTTGTGTGATAGGCTAAATGTAACTTTTCTCGGCTTTAAGTTGGGTCTGCAGCAGAAATGAAATGTTGTTTTTTTGTCAATAATTAGCGGCACGACGGTCAACGCGATGTAGTTATCCCTTGACATTCATGTATCTTGTTAGGACTCGACCCCCAACATTGCATCAGCGGTAGGTGGTTGATAATGTTGCCATATCTTGCTATAATATATTATGTCACGCGGCGACGCGCTTGTGTGCAAGGACACGATAAAGAGGCTCAGCATTCAATATAGTATAAACTGAAGCACGTTGCAGAGAGCTTTGCGTGGTGCTTCTTGCTTGTAATAGCTCTGTATCCTGAGGCGAGTTATAGAAATGTATTATCAAATACAAATGACTAGCTGGCACCGCTAAAGTGTGCTCCAATGTCTTTTTTTTCTAATTTGTTTTCTCAGTTGTTAAAGAAACAACGAGACAATTAGATTCAGTACGATGAAACCTGTGATCATCGATGTTATCATCGTTTGCAGTGTGCATTTACACCACCCTGCACTCCCCTCCCGAAAACCCTTCCCGCGCAGGTGTTACAACTGCGGCGAGTTCGCCAACCACATTGCGGCCAAGTGCACGATGGGGCCCCAGCCCAAGCGCTGCCACCAGTGCAAGTCATCCGAGCACCTGATCGCCGACTGCCCGCAGCGTGAGGACAAGCGCAAGGGCGCCTCCAGTCCGCTCAGAACCAACGGCGACGCGCCGGATCAGTCGGCGCCGCAGCCGGCGCTGGACAACGGCTCCGCAGAGGCCCTGGACAACAACAACACGACAGTTCCCGTTACCAAGGTTCCCTAGCTAGCCGCTGCTGCTGCAGCATGTTCTGCCCGGCCGCTGTGCCGTCTCGAGCATCGCCGATGACGACTGCTTTGCTCGCGGGCCACCACTTCGCTCGAAGCTGTTCAAAAAGAGACACAGTGCTCAGAGCGCGCCAAGAGCGCCGGTGTTGCCGACGAACGTCGTCCAAAGGCCCCCCCGCCCGCTCGTCCGTCTTTGGTTCGGATGGGCTGGCGGATGGTGGCCATGTTTTGCATCATCCGTACGGGTGAAGTGGAAAAACCGGCGCGCTTGCGCGTGCAACGCCAGATGGAGCTTCGTGCGTTACGAAACTGGTTTTTACAATAGGAACTCCCCGCTGTTGCGTCGGTGGAGGTGATGGAACCTTTCACAAAGTCGAAGCATCCACAGTCACCGATAGCTTAAGAAACGCACGGCTGAGCGAGATCCGAGCACCTTGTTAGCGCTCCGTGCCCAATCAGATTGCGGCGTTTGTTCACAAGGAGGCCGAAGGGCCAATCCCGAAGCGAGAACCCAGAGCGTAATAAGGCACGCCCTGCATTTGTTAAGCTGCGAGGGACTATGGCAAGGCAAACCGAGGCGACACCCGCTTGTTGTAGGGCCCCTGACCGCCGTCGGCCGTCCACGACCTATTGTCTGCAGCTACCAGAGCCGAAACATGGTGCTGCGACGGGCGACACTATGGGTCTGGAAACAGGTACATGTCGCCTCGATGTGCGGACTTATTCGGGTGTTTCGTAGAAGGAGGGACCTAATTCGGGCGTTTCGTAGAAAGCAATTGGTCAGCTGCGTGCTTGTACTGTGCCATTGATATACGAGCCGAATCAATCGCCTCTGTCCGATACGGGTAAACGATGTGCATCTTTGGTTGTTTTTCGTGAACCGACTGTATACTTGCAACAGGGATCGAGACATCTAAGTGCCATTCGTGTTTTTTTTTGTTTTTTTTTGCTGTTTTTAGTTTTGTCGGTGGGGAAGGTGAGCGTGGTATTGATTTGCCTGCCCGAAGTTTATCAATCATCTCCCAGGGCTCATGGATCCGCTAAAACTTACGGTGTACGGTTAGGTTTGTTCTTTCGAACCTGGTATGCTTACATTTGCTGCGGCTTGCCCCTATTCGCTCTCTATCTGTCTCTCTCTCTCTCTTTTATTTCTTTGTTTGATTTTGTATTCTTCACTGCTTTTACGAATCCCAGAAACGGGTGGTTGCTAAATTTATTTTGTCGTGTATAACCATCACGAATTACACAGCCATCGAACTGGTGATCACGGAATAAGAAATCCTTCACACGCATCGTGAGAATTTGCAATCAATACGAAAGGTATGTAAAGAAAAGAAGTCAGCATGGCATACATTTTGGTATGATATAAAAAGCGACGACTGTCGTGGGGAAACGTCTTTTCTCATAAAACTTGCGTTTTCGTTTTCTACTACTCACGTGGTACTCACACAGGAGATATGTCTCGTGCCCTCCGCGTTACGTTTTAGCAACGTTTAATATAAGCTACTGCGGTCTTTTCTTATCTTGGGATATTGTGACAGTCTTTAAAAGCCTCCCCATTTTTTTCTTTTTCTTTTACATTTGGCTTGTGAACTTTTGCCGAGTGAAAACCACATTTCCAGCAATGGCTTAGGAAAACAACGAGCTTAGTTGGTTTCTAAATTTTGAAGGCAAACATAACGCGCAAGAACGCCGTAGTTTTGTCTCAAAACCGCGAATAGCACGTTAAGGGCCCACCGAAAAGAAAAGCAGACGCCGCTTGCGGCAGCGTCCCTTTGTCATCGGTAGCGGTGGAGAAACCACCCCTGCCCACTCGTGGCACCAGGTTATAATAGGAACAGAAATGCAGGCGCTCCCTAACCTAAAACCTTAAAGCCATGTGGTTTTCTTGTCACATATCAACTTCAGCATTCTCAAGCGAAAGCACCCTGCTCTGCCTCATTCAGAACACAGCGAATGTGCCGTGTCTGTTTAGACTTCATATTTTATTTGAGACGTCTTAAGGTGATGGTAAAGTTATCTAAAAACAAATGTTTGTTTAAAAAAGTACGTTGCTTGTTTTGTTGAAAATATCTAGATGAATACTTCTTTTTAGAATCATATTGATGATCGAGGCCAGTTAGCAGTTAATATATGAAACTGTACATTTACTATTGTCAGAATCTTGCTTTGTACTACTCCGGTTTATTATTTAAATTACTGGGAGTTTAAATGTTTATTTTATGAAAACGCGGTCATTCGAGCATAGTTCTAAAATATTGGAACTGTTATCTTTTTTGAACCCAGCCGGGGCATCAAAATAAAACGGCAGTGTAACAAGGATCTCCCCCCAAAAGGAACCGCAATGTGGATGCTTTCAAGCATTCAAAACATCCGCCACGTTCTCGCAAGCCTTTCATCATCTACTGAGAACATCATGTTGTTCTGTTTCAAGCGAACTATATACACATGGCACACGTGAACGCACCCCTCGGCTAAATATTAGCCTGGATCTAGCGATGCCCTTCGAACAGTTGTACAGCATGAAGTTCATGCATGTGTGAGTGCGTTTTATTCTGGCTTCCCGCCCAAACCCTCCTGTTCAGTAGTTTTAAGTTTGAGTTTTCCGTGTGCTGTGGCGTGCATAAGTGTGTGCGTGTGCCTGTATCGATCCGCTGTCACAGTCAGCCTTCCATTTCTTTGTTTTCGTTTGAGTTCTTGACGCTGAAGAACAAATCGGGGCAAGGTGGTTATAACTCCCATTAAACAATTTGGACTAGCCCTTCTGGGCAAGCCCACGACTGCGCTTACGTGCGTTCGGACACTGTCGTTGTTTTCTCGCTCGTTTTTTCTTCTTTTTGTTGCTAATTAGCTCGGTTGAAAGGTTTATATTGCTTGTTAGTCCGTAAGATGCGGTTTCTAGGATTTTGGAGGAAAGCTGCAAATGATACTTCTTTTTAGAAAGCTGGATCATCACTGCCTATTGCTTTCTGTTCTACAACTCATATAATTTTCAGTGGTGAGTTCATTTCTGGTCCATACATGGGCAAGCAGTGTCGTCCCGTTTTCCGCCGAAATCCCCGAAACCTGCATAGAGTATACTAATTATCAAGCACGATGCCTACGAAGGAGATTTCCTTTTGAAAGACCGTGTTACAACTACACCAACCACACGTGAGCCCAGTGTGACTATTGTGATGAAGCCTGTACCTGTATAATAGAACACCGGTTCAAGCAGGCGAACGACAGGTTGTAAATTGTTCATAACAGTACGCCTTTCTTGGCATAACCTCTCGCTCTCTATGGATGACTCCGGAGAAACTCTCGGAGAAATCAGCCCTGCTACGGTTACCTTCGCTGGCCATGGGCACCACGACCGCGCTTACGTCTGACCTTCGCAGAGAGCTCTGCGGCGGAACTGTCGCCACACACTCATCTCCTCCTCTTTATCAGTTTCTCTCCGTATAGGTACAGGGAGTGGTTGCTGAGTTCGCACCACTTGACACCTACCAACATAACTTCAACGCACTTTCACGTATTTACGATAACACTGCCAATTCCGGTATGGCTTCAAATACCATTCATGCATTTAAAACTTGAAAATTCCCAATTGTTGCGTCGAAAGTAGGACGCCTGTTTGCTCCCACTCTCACTCAGGCCAATAGCAGTTCCAGCCGGCAGAGTTTTCGGCGAGACCGGCAGACATATGCTCTTCAATGGCGCAAGATGGCGGTGTGTTCCGGAGTCCCAGAGTCTCCTTCATTGTCGGGTAACTACAACTGGGCGAAAATCACTACAAGACCCTGAACGTGCATCACGTTCAGTATAGATTATCAAACGATCATTAGAAGAAGAAAAATTATTTTACAAAGACCAATCTGAGCTGAATCGGGCGATGTTCAGCAGGTTGATATACGATACTTTGAAAGTTCGCCCAAGAAAGCCCTTTCGGAAATGTGGACAAGTCCTTAAGCGCAACTTGCGCCACGGACTTTGCTTTTAACATTTGTACGAAAAACAAAGCAGAAATTATTCTGTAATGGCTGCTAATAGCTTTTTTTTTTATATTCCCACATCTGCAATGTCAAAATTAATGTCCATAGAAGTCTCCTTTTTGTTTTACAATTTATGAGGAAATAACAGTGTCACACGCATATTTATAAGTAACTTTCAATTTAACTATCCCGAAATTAGTACGGGGCGAGACATTCCGGGCATCATTAAACATTTCTTATGGTCTATTTGCGAGAAGGCTTTCCTGGGTATGCGGATAAACTCAGTACGTAAAAATTGTTTTATATAAGCGTTAAGTCAGAAGACTTGACTTCAAGGTTTTTAAGAGCAAGGTGGTATTCAGTATACTGTGTTTTAGCACGATTTTGACTGAATTAAACCGAAGAATTTTATATAGATTGTGTGTAACATTGGGGACTCCAGAGCAATTTAGAATATGCTGCACTGTTTCGCAAAATTCAAAACTCGTAAGAGTCTATTTAGCGTCCTCACAATGAGGACGCCGTCTAGAGTGCATATATGTTAAGGTGCGTAACGCAATATTATTTTGAATAGATAATGTTTTGTTTTCAGGGAAACCAATGTGTAGAATGTAAACATGGTGTTGCTGTAGCGTGGAAGTGCTAGATTTTTTTTCTACGAGCGACTTGTTTTTTTCTTTGTGAGAAAGGAAAAACCACAGGAATAAAACCGTTTCCACTTTGTACATGGGTGAAAAAATAAAACAAAATACAAGAACTTCCCATTTCGATGGGAAAAATGTTCTAAGCGTCTCGTTTCTTTCTATCGTTCTAAACGTAAGAGCTGTTTTTAGCGACTGATATCGAATTACCTAAGTACTAAACACATTTTCGTTCAATGAGGCGGTGATTTCTGGTCAATTCCTACTTACAGTTTATATACTACTTGTTACTTTTTTTATTTTTTTTTAGAACCATGGAGGTATTGAGCGGTATCGACAGCGTTGTAAAAAAAATCACTCGACTCTCTTCCACTGGTCGTCTTTTAATTATGCACATATCCCGGCTCGGAGCCGAGTTTGCGGAACCCACTTACTGCGCCGTTTCTCGATTTTCTAAAGAGTTCAAGCACGGGTTCCTAAATCTCTAGGTCTATACTCTGTTTAACCTTATGATGTACCGCAGGAAAGGCTACAAGCACCAGCTCCTTGCTCTAGGGCACATCTCGGCGGCACAAGCTCTGGTGCGTTGATTGCGTTAAGAGCAGCTCCCAGCGCTATGAGCTCGCGCTTTTAGCCTTCTCTGCGGTACAACATAAGGTGAAACGGAGTATAGCCCGGAATCTGTTAGTGCAACTTTATCTATATTCGTTATAACCTCCGAATAAAAGGCGCATTGTGCGCGTGTTCAGAAGCTCTCCTAAGTAGTTTTTTCTAGATTTTATAGACAGAGGAAACACATAAACAAGGGTTTTTGCTTCTGAAACGTTTGCATGTCGATAACGGAACGAATGTCTAATTTTAAATCAACATAGAAGTACCGTAATTCACCAAATCAAAGAAAAACAAAGTATCGCTCCGCGAAGAATTGTATTTCTTTTTTACTGCCGTTCTTGAGATGAAAACGAGTATATAGTGTGTTTAGTTTCGATGCATGTTTTCAGCCAGCCACGCTTCAAAAGCTAGTCTAATCACCGTTACTAAAAATAACTTTTTTTTTCTTTTTTGGTGAAACAAAAGAAAGGGGGGGGGGGGGGGGGCAACAAGCAGTCTGGCAACCGCCAACCCGGGTTCCCCGGTAATAGTTGCACGGATGTAGAGGGAAATAAATTGGGCGTTTAAGTTTGGGAGGAAAACATTTTCTTAGGATAGATGGCGAAAGCTAGCGCACGTTAAAATATCCATCCACCCATCAAGACATGAGTACGGTGCCTGGAACGCGTCTCCGACTGGTGTATTTAGCGTCCCATACACTCAAAGTGGTTCCAAAGTGGCAGCAGATGACGTCAGAAATGCCCGAGTGTATCGCTGTCGGATGTCGCGATCCTGGCTGTTGACGCTAGACGTCCCGGTAGAATCTACCAGCGAACGTGAGTGTCGCTGCAGTAGTGGCGCCCCAACTCCTGACTGGAGAAACTGCCCTGGACCGACAAGCTGGGAAGTGACCTGCAGCAGAGGAGGAGTCTGCCACACCCACCACCTGCACCCGCTGCTGGGACACCACCAGGATCGCAGCCGGCGACAGTAGACACTTCTATGACGTGATCGGGCGAAAATTGAGGGACCACCTTTGAGGGCGCTATAAAAACACCAGTCGGAGACGCCTTCGAGGCACCATAGGCGTGACTATCTCGGGCGATCTACACACACCATGGAGGTGGGAAGCTTCTGGAGGTGAGATGACGCTACCAGAGGTGAAGCCAGAAATGTGGAGGGTCACGCCCCCAACGATGACCAAAACAGCTGTGCCTGTGGACATCGTTGGGGGCGTGTCCCTCCACACTTCTGGCTTCGCCTCTGGTGCCGTAATGTCGCCTCCAGAAGCTTCCTATCTCCATGACACACACGCACCAGCAGCAGGATAGCATCACCCAGAAGACGTACTTGCAAACCTGTGCAAGAAGGAGGGACCCAAAAGAAACCGAAATTTATTTTTTCTACAAAATCGTGCATTTATTTTTACACTTTCAAATTTCATTTACATACAAATGCGCTCTCCTCCTGATACGATACACCTTCAGAGACATGTTTTTTAACGCTCTAGACAGCCTTTGAACTTGTCTCCTTTGATGCCTTTCACTGTACTTCTAGCGCTTTTTCTTTTCACCTTTTCCACAATGGCAAATATATTCCCTTTGTGAACTTTGTTTTTATCGGGGTAGGCAACAAAAGTCACACGAGGCAGGGTCAGACGAACAGGAAGGGTGGGGTAGGGGGGCCAGACCGTCTTTCGTTAAAAACTGCTGAACATTTGTGGTTTTGGAAAAATGGCAAGCCATGTTTGGTGCACCAAACAGGAGACTGGTACGTCCCCCATGACAACGCGCCTCCGTACACCACGGGTGTTTGGTGTTTTTTTTTACCAAAAGCGACATGCCCTCCATGTCCCATCCTCCCTATTCAGCCGACCTTTCCCCTTGTGACTGTTTTATTTTCCATGATTAAAAAAAGAAGTTATCAAATGGGAACAGTTTGCCGATCTGGAAAAGGTGAAACAAAAAGCGATCAAACCACTGTAAGGCATCAAAATCGACGAGAATCGAGGCTATTCAGAGCTCTGAAAAAACCCTCTGAGGTGTCTATGCACAGGGGTGGCCAAGCTGCAGCTCGCGAGCCTCATGCGGCTCTTCGCGTGTTAAAATGCGGCTCGCGGCTCTCTCCTCTCCTCCGCCCCCCCCCCCTTACCCTCACCCACTCCCCCCGCCTCCCTCCCGGTCACACGAGCACCTCCCAAAAAACAGAGAAATGGAAACATTTTAAATCGAACGACAGGTTGCGGTTTGGTAGTCTTGTGCTACTGCTACCTTACTACGTACTGTTGGACCGCCTTTGACTCGGATATATTGAAAGTAGTTCGAGTTTCGTTTATTGTTCTGAATAAAAGTTTGCCCCCCCCCCCCCCCTTCCCCCCCCCCCCCCCCCCTCCCTGCGGATCTTGGAAGTTTCGTGGCTTTGTTTGCGGCTCTTAGGCCGGGTCAGCCCGGCCACCCCTGCCCTAGCATAAGGCTGACAGTACTTTGAAGGTGAATGAAATTTCAACGTGTAGAAAGAAATACACGATTATGCATATATAAATTCCGGTTTTGTCGGAACCCCCTTCGTATATCATCGATGCATCGAGGTGTCTTCAAAGTGGCAAAAGAATACGTCGCAGGAGCCGCCGAGCAATGGTAAGGTTTGTCGCGATTATGGCGGTTGGTTGTAGAAAAACAGGGAAGGAAGTCGAGGAGACGCGGGCACCGCCGCTCTCTTCATAGCGTCGCAATCCCTGGCCAGTGACGTTTCCGTCGACTGTCGGGCTACAAAACAAGATGCAGTAAAGCACGTCTGCATTGGTATACTTCATCTGCTATACCATCACCAGCATCTGCCGTAAATCGCAGAAGTCCACACGTGTGGCACCAACAGCCGGAAATCGAGGGTCAAAAATAAGAACGCAATAAATTCTAATTGGAAATACCTGTCAGGAATACTTGCAGAAAAATGTGGAGCAAACGCCGTACTTATGCTGCGAACAAGCCCCGAATTTCGCGCGGCTGCGTTCACTACACTCTAAGAAAAAATGGAGGAAAAAAGTAGCAACGGCGCGTCTTCCTCCCTTCTACTGACGCGCCCCCAAGCGGACACGAGAAGAAGGGAGGAACGAGACGTTTTCCTCCTTCTCCAGGCAGACGGGAGAAAGCTTCGCCCTCCCGACTCATCTTCTTTCGGTTTCGTTTTTCG